TAACACAAACATGTCATCGAATTAAAATACTGATTAATCGAATAGGTTTGACAATTATTAATGATGAGGTTTATTCTTTTCTAAAAGTCTAAGTCCAGTATTTACAGCTTTTGGGTTACAAAAAATTACGTGCTGAACTGAATAAAGTACCTACTGCTTTTTTAAATATTGTTTTGTATTAATTCGTTTAAGATTTAGAAACAAAATATTTTTAGAATACCTATTATGTCCCCGTTGTGACTGTCTAGCCGTCCGTTAGTTACCATTACATAGTTATGATTTTTTGCTTTAACATTTTATACCAAAATATAAAGTTTACCAAATAATTATTTTCAATTATGATATAATATGGAACTATATGGTTTATTATGTTGTATTAAAATGTGTTTAAAACCAGGAAATTTAGTAGGCTCAAAGAGTGAGCTTTCCTAACCTGTCGTCTGACCGACCGAAAATGGATTATGGCAACAATTTTGCATCACAGTCGGTACAGTATCGCTATAATATGCTACCTCATATCATACGTGTGAAATTCAATCGCTATTATAAGATTTAAAACATTCTACGTATTTCTTATTTCAAACGTAATTAATTATTGAACACTTTCGAACTTGTCGAGACTTCACTTCTGCAGGACACGACGAGCCATAAAACCACGATGTCAGGTCTGAGGAAAACCATCACGGTCCCTGTCGGCCTTTAAATCCTCCGTCCTTCGACGTTMCATTCGACTCTTGATCAAAAATCTCATGTTTGCATCGTCATCATCCAAGAGAGCATATTAATACGATTTTTGTCGTTTGATACGTCGTTCGTGACAGACGTAGTCGTTTGCAGAGTTTCGCTATTATTAGGTATAGTGCGGCAACGCCCAACAACAATTCGAGCGACGCTTCGATCTATATTTTCCGTGAGCGACCGTCATATKATATTGTATTATAATTTATGATGTACTATAAAAAAAAAATAATTATAATAATCTAGGGCGATCGACAGTAGGTTAGTTTAAGTTTGACATAAAACGATGCTGTGTCTTCTTCTTCAAAAAATATCGTTCGTCGTACTATTTAGCGCTCGTGTTCCGGTTTCCGCGGTGTTTCACGCCGTTTTTTTTTTTTTTATTACAAACTTTCGGTGCATCTTTCGATATCAATTTCAGATATCCACCATCAGCCACATATCGTCAGTGYACTACAACCACTGCAGTGGTCTGAAATATTGGGTTAAAATAATTGGGTTTCTACCATTAGAGTATTGAATATTATGCAACTCGTAAATATAGGTAACGCGTATTGAACTATTGAATATACCACTGGACACGATGAAGTGTAAACCATGATTTAAAGTGCAGTGAGTTATACACGAAATTACAAAATATGATAGTAACTCATCAATGTCGACAACTTGAATTAAAGTATGCTATGTAATAATAATAATCATAATAAAAAGGATATAMAACTCTTTGTCAGCCATATAATATTTGAAAGGCTATTATAATTATTTATCTACGCGGAGATTCTAAAACGCATTTGCACCTGAGCCTCAAAATTGTAATCTTGACACTGCGTTGAATTCTGTGTTATAGCTGACTTGATGAATACTTCACGGTGGTCTAAGCGATCATCACGTCGTAAATATATATAATATACATCATGTTTACAACATAATAATATTTATAAATTATATATAATTTAGKTATAAATGTTTATAAATTGAAAATTCGTGTGATTTRTCATAATTCATAAACGTACAAACACTGAAATACATAATATTTTCTGATATGGCTATATATATTACATAATATGTATGTTCATAACTAGGGCTGGGATTTCGATGCACTTAGCATTGTTTTTCAAAGCTTACTGTGCAATGCTCATCTTGTCACAAATTTGTTTTATGTACATTTGAATAAGAATAAGAAAGTTTATTTTGCATTTTTTGGCATTTTTTAGTTTTTA